TATATAAAACATAACTTTTTATTATTAATCCCACTAATACCACAGTGACTAGAAATTAAAACACTATTTTTTATTCAAAACACAATACACAATATAACCAGGTTTATATATTTATCATAAATAAATCCATAAAATGTTCAAACTTTTTAACTCAATAAATGTAATTGATTTCAAAATGAACATATACAGTATATACTGATTCTAAGTAATTGGAATATTTATTGTGAAAATATGTTTATTTAAATAAGATCAAATAGATGCAAATAGTTAATAATAATCTGTACCATGAGTGCAGAAATCTTACCTTTTTCTTGTCCATTTCATTCATGTCTGACTAACAAACTTGAAATGTATTAATTAACTTGTTAAAACTGTAATCCAAATATATGCTGGCTGTGTGTGTGTGTGTGTGTGTGTGTGTGTGTGTGTGTGTGTGTGTGTGTGTGTGTGTGTCAAATATAAAATCATTGTTGCTGCTGTTGTTTTATTGCATTCATATAAAAAAAAAATGATAAGAATCTGTACTGATCCAAAACCTTTTAATGTAGTTTAATGTTGGGTATTTCTAAACTTTGGAGGGCACTTGGTCCTGTTCCAATCCCATTCCTCTCTTTGATTTCTACAACTGTGTCTATCAATACAATGTTGCAAAATACCCCACAAAACTATAACTCTACACTTATGATGGTATTACAGTCAACATGGCATCAAAATGATCAGGGCTGCCAACTGTCTGTCACACATTCAGCGTTAGACATGCAATTGACTGTTCTCATGCTCTCACGCCACACGTCCATTTTCTCACACAGGCCAAAGCAACCTCAGTTAAAACTGTAATAATAGGATATTAATGCATATAGGATCCAGTGCATATTTGTGTATGCGCTCTGGAAAGCATGAAATGTTTCTATTTACAATGTGTTTTGTAGCATTGAACTATATAGCCAATCACAGACATATCTGTTGAATTCTTGAACGCCTGTGATTGGTCATTGCATTCAAGTTAGAGGCATTCACCTCTAAACGCGGGATTTTTTCCTGCACGGTCATGAATCCTCTCGTTGTAACAAAGTGTAGACATGATGTAAATAAGAGCTTCATTGATTATAACAGAACATTGTGAGATTGCGATAAATTTAAGGTGACAGCTTTTTTTTGGAGTGCACTGTGGTCACTTATTCAAATGAGTTACACTAACAGAGCAATCACACGAGAGTTTGTTTTAATCAAACCAAACCTGCCATGTGTATGTGCATCTGTGGATAAAGAAAAACGTATTTCCTTGCAATGAATCTGTTGACTTGGAGATACCCGAGCATGTGAAATGAATGAACTTTCCACAGAAGCCCTGTCACAGACACGTCCACAGCTCAGTCTCCAGCTCACAGTGACTTCAGCTGGTAATTCAATTCTGGAGCTGTAATGGAACTCTGTGAAGTGTGTCAGAGCTGTGATTGCACACAACATCCAATCTGCAGAGATAAGGGAAGAGCTCACTTTGACTAGCACAACATTGAGCTGGGGAAACCCCATGGTTCGTCTGATCGGCTTGATGCATAAAAACCTGCTCCAACATGGAGAGCATCTCTGGCTGATTTCTCCTGTTTGTGTTTGGTTGTCTCCTTTAAAGGTCTCCCTTGATGCTCTTTAAGTCTTACTGGCACAGCCCAGATGATTTAATCGCTCAGAGTTTGCTTTTTCATGACCCAAGAGACTTTGTTGAACTCCGTTAAGTGTCCACTTCCTCAAATTTATTAGGAGACATTAAAGCTAGACACAAATGAGACAATTGTTTGTCATACAGTGAGAGTACAAAGCTATAAAATGAATGTGAATAGCAGCTCAGGTCATTCAGTGAATTTAAATATCTGCAGATTTTGGTTACCTTGGCAATTCTTTTCAGAAAGATATCTCCTTGTTTAGAGATCTTTTCTAAAACTCAAGAGGAGACACATCAGATGAAGTTCGAGTAAGCAGGATCCTATATCTATATCTGGGAGAAACAATACAGATATAAACAGAACAAGAAATTATGTTTTTTCCTGGAATGGGAGTCTCCTGGTTATGTAAGTAATTACTAACAATCAAGAATGTGTATAAATGAGAAAGAGAACTGCTGTCACAGCTTGTCCAAACTCCCATGCAGCTCTCTTGAGTGAAAACATAATTGCTCACTGCTTCTTCCCAGAGTGTATTTGGAAACCCTGCAGCTGGCACCAATTCACGCTGTACATATTCCTGTTAAATGAAGTCATCTCAGCTTTTGACAACCTGTGAAACAAGGGAACTAGTGAATGTGACACTCGTGCTTTGCTAGCTGTATTCTGGCCTCTTGTGGCCAGACCATGGCATTTATTATATTTCTTTTCTTTTGTCTCTCTCTCTTTTAAAGGGATAGTTCAGGGGATGTTTTTAAAAAAAATTGTGAACTATTTTTTATAGTTCACAAATTAAAAACAAAAAATCTGAAATATTTCTTCTTCTTCTTCTTCTTCTTCTTTTTCTTCTCCTCGTCTCAAGAAATATCTGCATCCACACGAAACCACAAAACCGACACAAAACGATGTAGTATACATGCCAGATCAGCATGTGGCGCTGTAATTCTGCCACAGAGATACACTAAAAACGGAGAAGAAGACTTGGGCTATGCGCATAAACCTTGTGCGCGGTATACAAACGAACATGGAACAATACATTTATCAATCTGTGTTAATGTTAGTTAATAAAAAGACAATGGTTCAGTGTTTGTTCATGTTTTTGTTGTTGTTACGTGACGTAGTGGTGTCGGACTAGGGGCGAGACGTGGGCTGATGACGTCATCGTTTCAGAAAATATACGGATTCGCTGTCCACATGAAAACGCAAGGGAAAACATTTTCAGATTTATCCACTCTGGGACCCGGTTTTAAAAAATATCGGTTTCACTCTCCCAAAACGCCGTATCCGTGTGGACGAAACACCCATACGATACAAAATGTATGCATATACAGCTAAACGCGTCTCCGTGTGGACGGGGCCTCAGTTCCTGGAGGGCCAGAGCCCTGCAGAGTTTAGATTCAACCCTAATCAAACACACCTGAACCAGCTAATCAAGGTCTTCAGGATCACTTAGAACAGGGGTGCCCAAACTCGGTCCTGGAGGGCCGGTGTCCTGCAGAGTTTAGCTCCAACTTGCCTCAACACACCTGCCTTTAAGTTTCTAGTATGCCTATAAGAGCTTGATTAG